TATAATATAATCAAATGAAATTCTTGTTTCTTGTTTCTTGCACGCAAATAAAACTTTAATTCTAAATTAAAAGCATAATCTTTTTCATGTCTTGTGTCTTACATACACTCTTGAATTAATATATACTATCCCTGAAATTTTAGGAACACTCAATAAAATGACTTTCTTGGATCAAGTGCCAAATTTCAAAATCTACAATCAAGAAAACTGTACAGACCATCTGTATTGGATTATGGAATTGATTATGGAATCATTGAAAAAAATATTCCAAATGTACAAATATGGGACATCGGCAATTTGGATCACGAGTAAGTTTAAAGATAGCGTGTGCGCACGATTACTATTATACATGAAAATTTTCAGTGTTACATGTAATCGGACATGGCTTCAACTTCTGTCATATATTTACGCAAAGTGCTGACGATCTAACATGTTTGTTTCGCAATTATTTCCACGCGTAAGTTTGTATAAGTCTTATGTCTCTTTTTAGATATTTCAATTATCTGTACGCGTTTATTAACCGTATTGGCATTTAGGACACATGAACTTCCCAAATTTCATTATTGGTTTTGGGGTACAATGGCAGGTGTAACGGGAGTACTTTTAACAATTGTAACTGGATCGATATTCATATGTTCATTGCCAATGGTACGAAAATCATTCTACAATTGGTTCTCTTTTGTTCACTCCTTATATCCAGTTTTCTACATACTCATGATTTTACACGGCAGTGGAAGACTAGTACAAGTAATTAACGTTTTTATATTTACAAAAATTTGATTATCACACAATAATCTTACATAACTGAAAAATGTTTGATGCACCACAACAGGAATCATATTTTCATTATTTCTTTTTGGGACCAGCTATTCTATTTATCTTCGATAAAGTCATAACTTTGACTAGGAAAACAATAGATACCATTGCTCAAAGCAGAAATCTTACCATCAGGTACGTTTTTTTTCAAATTGTATTACTAGATTATCTATAATTAGGCTCTTATCTAACTTTTCACATACTACAAATTTGTAATTTATCTGCACATATATATATTGTAGATGTAACATGGATAACATTTCCTAAAAACCTTTAATTTCAATATAAATCT